GTTCCTAACACGAAATAGCTAATGATGGGTGACTGATACAAGCTGACCCTCGAATGCGAATGTGACACGGTGTGACATTGCACCTAAGAACGGTGCGCCCCTGCAGGAGGTGATATCCTGACTGTGTATCAATCTAGCTGTTCAATCTTGATTAACAAAGCTTTCAGTTGGTGGCATGTGGGTTTTCTTAACGCCTTAGTCCATTACAGTTCGTGTGTGAAGTGCAACTACAGTAGACTCACGATAATTCAAACTATGATAATTCATACTTTTGGTGAATTCAAACGAAATTCATTTTCTCTTCTATTCTTTCAATGTATTTAAAAGCCCCTTAATTCATACCCCATCATTCGGGTAATTCATATTTCTGCACTTTCTGTACCAGAAAATATCTGCTGGGTGATTCCACGAGAGATCGACACAGGTCCAAAAGTTGATATTTTAAATTGCATTGAGTATTTTATATTTCGTGCAGCTCTCACCAGGTAGCCCGAAAGTCAACTTCGTTTTATGATTAACGACATAACTTACGAGAAAAAAAAAATGAAACTTCACCAACACGGAGGCACCAATTTCGTCACCTGTTATTTTCGAAAATTGCAGATGCTATAAAATGACAAATATTTACGTTTCAAAGAAGATATTTTTTACCTGAAATGCATGTCTAATGAAAAATGAATTTATACGGTTTCAAGTTTGTAAACCTTAAGAAAATAGCTTTTAAAAATGTCTAATTTTGTGACAGTTTAAAATAAGTTACGTATTCCCCCTTTTTTTTTTCCTCTGAAAGTAATGCAAGTAGCGTTTTCAAACTTGACACGTTTTAAGAATATAGTGTGTTCATTAGGTACATAAATTCTTGCTGCCGTAAAGCAAATGTAAATTTTTATATAATGCCTTCAAAGTTCTTATATTGGCAAAAATGCCCTCCACTGAAATTTGAATAATAAAAAAACCCCATCTTCAATTTTTCTTAAAATCTCGTAAATAGACAACCGAAGGCCATCACTCAGTAATATAGAAGAAGATGTTGCACTATTTTGTTTTTAGCGACAATATTCGTGGCACAAATCAGGGCTTTTCGAGAATGCGCTGATAAGTTGAGCAATCTAGAAATCGGAACGGAAAAGCGGCAATGAGCTTCAAACGCGAGTAAACGTGACCACATTTGGTGAAGAAAAGCTGTTTTAGCACTGTGACAAATACGTACCCATGAAGGCGCATTTATGCTCCTGATAACACAGCTCTAATGGAGGAAATCTTCGACACTGTAACTCAGTTGCAAAACATCTGTCTATATTTGCAGATATACTCAAACATGAAAATGTTCCAACGCAAGTGTTGAGTCTCGCTAGAAAAAGCATATGCGCTTGAAGTACCCTCACTGGTATTTTGGTGGTGACTGCGTGAAACAAGAGATGCACTCAAAATGGCTGCATCTTTTGCAGATCACATTTAGCAGTACGTGGCGCTAACAAAACACGACCACGATCAGTGCCCTCAGATGTGCTTAGCCAAACATACCAAGAACGTATGCCTGGAACATGTGGTAACGATTTCCACTGGCTCTTCTTTAACTGACGGAATGTTTTTAGCTCGTCTGCATTTGCACACAGCAGCTTGACATTCTTGAGCTTCGCGCTCATTTGCGCCACCAATTGGGATGCTGACATAATCACTTTGAAGTGCAAAACTTTGAATTGATTGCTTCCTTGTGACGACACATGTTAATATAGACACCTGTCTTTTGTGCCAGTGATACGACTGTACCTCTTTCGGTAAAATGGCTGTCCAATTTTCAGCGAAATCAAAGTGAAAAATGCAAGATTTTCTTTCTTGGTTCTCTTTCGCCTGGCGTATTGCTGATTCTTGAATGTATTTTATGTAATCATGGGTAATCCACTTCACGAACCATACACTTAGCTCTCGCAGAAAAGCAATTGCCTGGGCTGTTTTTTTTACTAGATCACCATTTTCCCATACTGCATAGGCTACCTCAATATCTTCAGGGATTCCTAAACATGTGGCTGTCAGAGCATCCTCCTTAGCACAATAGTCACAATGGCCTAAAAAACAATCACTTGTAGGGGAGCAGCAAAGACATTGTTCTTTCAAGAAGTCCGCCGTGTAGGCACCATCGGTGACGTCTTGTAGGGCAGAAACACACTCCGTGGCATTAGCACAGTATATACAAAGGCACACTTCTTAGTGTGGCGCAAGAAGAACCCACTTCGGCCTCAGTGAATAAAACTTTGAGAGCCCAATAGACATGTTCAGATAAGCTTCTCTAAAGAGACGGTAAGCCTCTCGCACCGAACGGGTCATAAACCTTTTCGAAACAAGCTCCTTTTTTCCGTCAATAACAGATACTACATCTTTTTTGTTAGGACTCTGCCGAGAGCAGCTATACTCATCTTTAGAGTAGTAAGCCATAGCTGCCTGGACGTCCATTGGGTTCAGCCGTGTCCTTTTTACCGCATTTGGTGCTAACCATATCCCGTGTTTTGCGTGCCAGCGTCGGGATCTGTATATCATGTAAGCTGACAAGTTTGGTATAAGCGCTTGGAGTTTTCGGTGCTCTAAGTCGCTCGGCAACAGTGTCAACGAAAGCATGCGCTCTTGATACGAAGAACACGCTTCATAGGCTTGCTTGAAGTTCTCGAACCACTGGGCCCACACACTGCATTTTAGATCTGATGGTTGAAAGTGGCGGTTACACACGTTATGGTGAAATTTCACGGTTACTGTAGAATTGCTGCTAAGTTGTCTTGGCTCTGCATGAACTTTGCTATTTTGCGCATGCAGCTTCTCCAGTCGCATATGTGACAATGCTTCAGGCGTGTTTACGCACCGCTCTTGACTTCTGCCTTTGTCTTCTTCCGGCAAAAACTCATCAGCTGTTTCAGCTGAGAAGCCATTAGACGAAGAGAGCATATCTCTGAGGCATCTGAAGCGTTTCTGACAGACGTGGTCGTTGTTATGTGCATGGCGGGCAGCTTACGGCGAAAGCTTCTGGAGGGCAAACAGGCCGATGTCTTCGACCTTGCGGAAGTTTCTATGATAAGGTATTTTCTTTTTATGCAACATGAGGTAATCTGAACAAAAAACTCTATCCCGGCTGAAGTGGTCAGCCATCGCCACGCTCCTTGAGGCTCAAGTTACTGGCAATGCAACTATGCGTGAAACCAGCAGCACGAAAGTGATCTATCTGTCGTTTGTTCCTATGTCTCTCACCTTTAATGGGAGCAGACGTAAAACAGCGTGCGCAAGTATCCGCAGTGCGAATGCAAAACTGAAGTATAGTATGTTAAAATGAATTTCATAATATTTTTGTCGATAAAATTACGGGAGGCGTAATCTTTGTCCCTACTTTGATCCATATGATCTAAAGCATTGCCTCCGAGATGCGGCGCACAGAAATTCATCTGTAGAGCAGACGACGGATGACAACTTGCACTAAAGCGTGTTCTTCAGTCTAATGCGGCAATCTTCGTGCCCTAAATGATAAAAATTTGTTATGAATCGTTTATGAACTCATTCAACATTCAATTCTCTTACCCAACGTGTTGCAAACACATGGCCGTCATAGCAGCTCCATCTGTGTGTCAGTAATGGAGAGGCACCACATATTAGAAGTCTCGGTGCTCTACGTATAAGAGTGAATTCAGATACTGTAGAATATCGTGTTCAATATAGTTACTCCTATCTGCTAAAACAGCCTTTCTTCACCAAATGCGGTCACGTTTACTCGTGTTTGAAGCTCATTCCTGCTTTTCCGTTCCGATTTCTAGATTTCTCAACTTATCAGCGCATTCTCGAAAAGCTCTGATTTGTACCATGAATATTGTCGCTAAAAACAAAATAATGCAACATGTTTTTCTGTATTACTGTATGATCGCCTTCGGTTGTCTATTTCCGAGATTTTAAGAAAAATCAAAGATGGTGTTTTTTTATTATTCAAATTTCAGTGGTGTACACTTTTGCCAATATGAGAACTTTGAGGCAATATATAAAAATTTACATTTCCCGTACGGCAGCAATAATTTATGTACCTAATGAACACACTATATCCTTAAAATATGTCAAGTTTGAAAATGCTGCTTGCATTACTTTCGGAGAAAAAAAATGGGGAATACGTAACTTATTTTAAACTGTCGCAAAGTTAGACATCTTTAAAAGCTATTTTCTTAAGGTCTACAAACTTGAAACCGTATGAATTCATTTTTCATTAGACATGCATTTCAGGTAAAAAATATCTTCCTTGAAACAAAAATATTTGTCATTTTATAGCATCTGCAATTTTCGAAAATGACAGGTGACAAAATTGGTGCCTCCGTGTTGGTGAAGTTTGATATTTTTTTTTTCTCGTAAGTAGTGCCGTTAATCATAACACGAAGTTGACTTTCGGGCTGCCTGGTGAGAGGTGCACGAAATATAAAATACTCAATAAAATCTAACATATCAATTTTTGGACCCGTGTCAATCTCTCGTGGAATCACCCTGCTGCATTCCACTACTATTAAAAAATTTGTGTATTTATATATCTAACAGTCTAAAATGAAAACTAAGCACCTGAGGCCTTCAACAAAAAAAGTTTTTCAAATAAACAAATGTTTGAAACGAAGCACATGCATGGTAAACCGTGATGCTTCTCAACTGGTATAGAGAGCTTTGTGCCCAAGGTACATACCTATAGCAATGAAGCAGTTGGCAATTCACGATTTCTTTATAAGGTCTGATCAGCAGTAAATGGCCAATAAAATCGACTTACACTCCTGCTTCATGTTCATTGCGTGTAGTTAAGGCTTAAAAACACCTGAAATTTTATATGTGTTGTTACCTCACTCGGAGTCATCTGTCTGAGAACTTCTGATAATACGAACAAAATTTAGGGGTTTCTTTGAGTTTGAATTAATGAGAGTCGACTGTACTTCGTCTTTCGGTCTTAACTAAAGGCAGGCAGTAATCTGCGGATGAAAGAAAATCCTTCTTAGTTAACGGAGAGAGTTGTAATCCACAATTTATTACACGTCACCACATAGAAACCACTGTGCGTGCACACACAAAACAAAGTAGATCTCCTTGGTCACAAACACACACAGTAAGTTGAAGCCTTGCCTCAATGCAATGACCAAGAGCATAGAAATAAGGAGTGTTAATGGCAACCTGGAGAAAAGAAAAAAAAAGGCTCCAAATAGCAAGACCCCTTTTGTATAGGTGGTGGGCAAAACCCATTAATACAAAAATTGTAAAAATTGCATGCTTCGTGCAACCTGCAGATGGTACCAGCAAAAAAATTATGAGTTGATGAGTACTCAAGTGCCAATGCAAACAGGAAAATTGCCTCAAACAATTCTACTCTTCATGACAGAGAATAATGATGAGGGATAAAAGTGCACGTGAGCAATGCACTGTAGGCACTATGAATTAACAGGCACCAACCGAATAGTTGTGGTTGCACTGATCACAGCCACACATTTGCGAAATGACAGGCACCAGACCATGTTAGCAAATATAGTTTCTGGCATGAAGAAGACCCTGCGCGTCATAATGTACACCAAAAGAAAAAGTTGGTTCACCGTTGAAGTAGGCACATGTAACTCACGCACTGACTAGAGTCTGTATGCATTCTTCAATGGACATACTGTTCCCAAGCAAGAAAGCAGTGCATAAAGACATGTTACACAATATATGTCACAGGAAAGAGATGCCTTACAAGTGTCACAAACAGCCGAGCATATCTTGCCACTTTGCCACGCATGACAACAGTCAAAACTGTACCTGCATGCATGGGGAGTTGGTTCATGCTCATATCAGGAAAAAAAAAAAAAACTGCACAAAATTCTGACAGGACACAATATAACAAACAAACAGCGCATGGTATGTACTATGTGCCCACATATCTAAAGAAAGAATCAGTTGCAAGTCAGTGCTGTTTTAATGCCATTTTTGCCTTCTGTCCCCGCAGAACTTCGTGCTGTTCTTTTTTTCCCTGTGTTATAACACGCATGTACTTTCGCACTCAAGACACATTTCCAATCACACATATGTTGTCGATCATTTGTTCATTTACTTTTAGTTGAGGAAAGCATGGCAAGCACTTCTGAAACTGCACTAAGGGCACATGTTGATGCATCCTACTATGTGTCAGGAAGCAATGCTTGCGCACGTCTTTTAGGCCAACACTCCCTCCAAAATACATGGCAAATGGACTGTGAAGCCACTAATGCTCGTGTAGCCGGCTAAATAGATAGCTTCACGAAGACGTCACAGGAGACAAATACGGCGCAGGACACTTTCCTGTCCAAACAAGAAGGCGGCTGGGGGAAATTATCGGATCTCGCCAGTGAGGTTGTCTGCCCACATGCAGGCTACATTAAGTTTTCCATAGATTCAAACAAAAAGGAAGTTTAAGAATCACGTTCTTTTGTCAGCACGAGATGATGCCACAGACATTCATTACTTCAACGACAGAAACTTGATGCTGTCTCAAATTAGAACATAGCCCTAAATGAAACGCCTAAGCACGATGACACCTGTGTGCTTAAGCACATAGTTCATGACACCCCTGTGGGCACTATAAAAAAACATGTGGCAGAGAATAATATTTGTGACTCTGCTTGTCTGCTAGCACTCTTGGTTTAATTTACAGGGGTGCACGAAAAAAAGCTAGCTTAAAGAAGTACTGATTAAAATTTAAAATACTTTCAGGTTGTTGCTTTATATCAAAAACGGTTGTTGAAAACCCCCCAGAATAATGTCGTGGGGCATGGGAGTGCACTCAATATATCTTTAAAACCGCTAACTTGAAATGGTCATTTTGGTTTCAGTGTTGAGGGGATGGCTTGGCAGTGACGTGTGAACACAAGTTTGACCCCTCCCCCCTCCCTTTACCGGAAGACAACTCACAAAATACCAGCACCAACTGTGCCCTCAGTCGCACGTAGCTCACGTAAGCGACAACGGGTCCATAGAATCCGATTTCTGCATTCAGGTTACATGCATAATGCAGAGTTTGCAGCGAACTGTGCTGACTTGTTGTGTTCATTGGGGTTGGCTTTGGTGTGTGGAGAGCATGGAAAATAAAAATGTCCCTTCTGGGACGCCTCAAAATTGAATCAGTACTCATTTATTGCAGAGCAGTTCTGAATGGCATTACTAGGAAACCATTAACAAAGCAGAAATTGGCTACAAGCTTGGAAATACGTCAGTATTGCCGCCAGGAAGTAAGTTGCTCGGCCGTTCCGTTGATTTGCCAATTCTTTTTCCAAACTAGCTGACAGCAGAAGCAGCGAAGAAACGGCAGGCACAGCACTGCTTTAAAATCAGTTGTGCATGGCACCTAAAATCCCTGACATCTCAAGACATGCCTCACATCGTACAAAGCAGTGGAAACACAATGTGCTTAGACACACAGGTGCAAGTCGGGACCTTATGTAACACGCTGACGATGTTGCTGGCACATGTGCGTAAAATGTCATCACGTATTGTGAAGAGATCATGCTAGTGACTGCATGCAGTATCAATGTTTCTGAAAGTGTTGACTCAGCTCAGTGCTGTCTCAGAAGTGATAAAAAGATACAGCCACAGTTAAACGTGAGCACGAGCCCTTTGAAAGGTTGCTAAGCTGCTTCTGCCTATGATATTCATCACAAAACTTCCAAAGTACCACAAAGGCATGATAGCAACAAAGCAATGTCGCAATAAAACAAACAAGTGTGTCACATCATTTAACACTGTCTACTAAGTACAATATTCCCATGTTAGTAATAAAAATAATACGCCTTTGAGGCCATGAAAAGTTATAAGTAGAAAGGGTTTCATCCAGCACATGAAATGAAATGAAGTACTGAAATGAAGGGGTACTGGCACGGGCATTTTCAATGTACTGGCACGGGCATTTTCGATTGTCATTTTTTTTTTGTGCCAACTGAAAGGTGACGCCTTCAAGAGTCTAGAAAATTTAGTGCCAAGCATAAGCACCGCGTGAAAAAGTAATTAAAGAGCTATTTTCGGTTCCTACTGTACGCGGTGTAAGCTTCGGGTCACATGCTTGCACAAAATATCGCGACGGCTTCTCAGCCTCTGTTGGTGGCGCATGAGTGGTCCTTCGCGTTGTGTTGGTTCTCGATGTCATCTGCTGAGCGAAGTCACCAGAAGTACTGTATTTACTCATGTAATGAACCCACCCCCCAACCTTGGTTCCTGAAAAAAAAATCTATTTTTTTAATACTGTATCTGTTCATTTTATTTCAGTATGATAGCCAGCGCCATTGATGATTGACATAACGTTAGATCACGCCATTATACAGGAGTGCCACAGCAGAAGTAAGTTTTGGAGCAATTTTCCGAGAAGCAAGATTGGAACACTAAAATCCGAATTTGGAGCAGGTTACAGCAAAAAAACATTCAATTTTTTGTCAAATTTGGAGTAGTATTAAAAAAGACCGACGTTTAGAAAAATAAATTTGTACAAAACCTTTCAACATCACCTAAATTGTGCAGAGTGAACATAAGCACTGCTATTTTATTAAGAGTAGTATTTTGAATTACACCACCGTGTAAGCAACATTAGCATTTGCCGCACCCGTCAAATCCTTAGACTGATAATTTAAACTTGGTTTGCCAAGCTGGCGACCCTAAAATTCAAGAGATTTGTAAAACTGAGGAGCAGGAGTGGCAAAAAGAAAAGAAGAAACTGAAGCAGCTTTTTTTAGGGCTGAAGAAATATCATACACTGCTCCAAAATGATTGCCAGTAAGCCAGTAACTCTTTTAGATATGAGTGATCATACTAGCTTTCACAAAATGCATCATACGATGCTGCATTTTATAAGATGTCTTTATTTCTTGGGATACTTCAATGGGAAAGTTCTGGTCAGTCTGTTGATCGACTTGTCTGTGCATCGCCTGAACCGGCCAAAATCCAACCACATCCACAGCGGCCACCAATGGTTTTGGCGTTCATACTCGTGCGTGTTGTCTATTAAAAAAAATTATTGCACTTATCTGAGGCACAACATCAGCACGTCAATATCTGTGGCATGTTTCTTTATACTACAAGAGGCATACATAACTAATTCTAAGGAGCATAGCATTTATTACACTACGCTGAGAATGCAACACTATGCACGAAAAGGTGGTTGTTTCCTGCGCTTTGCTAAGACAATATGCTAGTGGCACCTACCTGTTGCCTCGCATTCTACAAATTATGGACTCCAACTGCATGCACACGCAGCGCACTCGCTATATCGGAGGCCATCCTTCCATTTTCCAAGATTACTGCCAGATGGCGCTCATGTCTCACACAATGTAGAGTTACTGTATATGCTACCTTTAGGTAGCAGAGTTGCGCCAAGATACGCCATCTTGGGTTGAAATGTCTTGCGGGAAAGCCACTCATCACCCGCGCAGGAGCAGCACTTGCGCTTACAGTTTGGATTCTATTTTTTTGCTTTCTTTTCTTTCTATTTTTTATGAAAGCACGAGGCAAACTCTGTTGCTCGCATCATGCCTGGAAGCCTAAATTTTATGTTTATGTTTTTGGTAAATAATAATAAAAAAACCTGCGTCAGCTCATTGAACCAGTAGTACATATGTATATATATAGTACGCCACACATTAGCTTCGGCTTCTTTTGCACTGTTTTTCCCATTGACATATATAAAATTATTTTTCACTCTTGATCGCCACCGAGCCAGAGATGAAATATTTTCATTGCGTTGGGCTCATTCGTTAACTGTGTGAGTTAACCAGCTAAAGCTTGGTAGTCTTCAACTGAACCGAGCTGGATAGTGATCGAGAGTGGCCGTACGACGCCCGCATTAAGGCGCGCATCTTGTATTACGATCCTATTACAATCGTGGCTCAGGACAATTGATGTGAATCGTCGTTTAACAACCATGTCGTGTCCAGCATTCTTTTCGCTTAAAGTTTCAAAGCTGCATTCAATTCACACAATAGCAGCAACACCTTGCCGATTCAAATAGTTCTAGTTTAAATTCTCCCTTTACTTTTAGCGTTTTAATTGTCAGACTAATTTGGACGTATGCAGCTGACACACTGCCCAACTCAGCATGTGTAACATATTCACTACTGCATCTGTGGTTAATACAAATAGAGCAAGTTTTGCAGTGCCGTGAACCGATAAAAAAAATCTAAGCGCATGGGCGTCAGCAGAGAAGTGGAAAAGTGGCCCTTGCCCCCCTCAAGCCACAACAGCACTTGCCTGCACCCAAGCTAGACCAGTGCTCTCGCTCTCCCTAAGCCACAATGCAACAATGGTTTGCACCCCCAAGGGAAAATCCTGCCGACGAAAATGGCCAAACGTTTATTCCTTTCGACTGAACACTAATCTTTCTATAGCAACACCCGCGTCTAATTGCATGGGCTCTATGTAGTACAATTCAACACAGAATGCATTTGCTGATACACTTCTTGTGACCAACGGGCAGCATAGCTACATTGCCGAAGAAGCGTGGCGAGAATAACAACAGCCGTTGTTAACCTCGCTTGATCTGCGCAGAATCTGCGTAGCGTTGGCTTTCCGCAGTGCAAATGAACTACCTATGACCACGTGATGGCGCTCGGCGAGTAGGGGCGCTGAACTCCTGTAGGCGGAGCGAGCGGCAGCCGGAAAACAGTGGTGCAACCCTGCTACCTAAAAGTAGCATATACAGTAACTCTAACACAGTGCCTCCAGAATCTCATTAACCATTTTTCTTGCGAAGAACATCCAATAGACGTTCAACTCACTCCCTCCAGAAGCAAGGCCATCGTCTCTCAATGACATTTGCAGTGAAACATGCAGATACTGGACCAATTTTTTGTAATTGGGTTTGTCGTAGTGGAATTCGTTGGGCACGCTAGCTACACAGGCGGTGTTAAACTTGGCCAAGCATGCACTGGAGCACGAGAACCGAGCGGCTGGACGACACTTCAGTGTCTATCCGAGCGCACTCATTACTGGAAAAAACAAGAAGAGCTTCGGTCTACAAAAAAGGTCTGTTGCACATTTCGTGGACCAAAGCAAGGATAGTTTCCTCCTGTAGAGGGCAAAACTCTCGAATCGGTGAACCCTCCTCCCAAATTGCCCTCAAGTTTTCTGGGAGGAAAAAAAAAGTGGGCTTATTACACAAGTAAATATGGTACTTCCACTCGCATATGGCTGAGTGAACACACCTTCGATAAATGGTGTCAGTACCCCTTGAAGAATGCCTAGTCAATGATGAGAGGTCACATGTTTTGTACTAATGTAAAAGCAGTGGTGTGGCATCTTGAAGGACTTTTGGGAAAGAACCTTGTGCTGCAAACACTGCACATACCAGTCCCTAAGCAAAAAATATTTTGCTATTTATGAAAAAAAAAAAAGAACACAAGACACAGGTCTTGCTAGTGCACCTCTGAAAAGTAAACAGAAATTTGTTTGTGCAAAGCAAATACACATATCCTAGCATGGTGTGGTGATTAAAAATCACCCAGCCTTATCACAGCTCTTTTTTCGCCTGCCTCACATGCCTGAAAAGAAGTGCAATTTCACATTCACTTTTATTCTGGTCACAGAAAAAACTGCTAGCAAGATAAGTTGATTTCCAAGTGCAGCACCAATTATGCGAATCAACTTCACATCCGCTAGGCATAGCTAACACTCAAAAAGCAGTGAGATCTGGGCCCCCTGTGGCGAGTACTACGTACTATATTACTGCGGGAGTTTCAAGTGGAGACAGGAGCAAGTTTTCAATGGCAGAGCATTGCTCCTGGAAACATGGTTCCTTCCCAGTATAGACTTTCATACAATAATATCATCTGGCGCTGCAATCGTGTACTCCCATGGAAATCATGAGAAGTACAGGCTTCGGACTGGATTGCGTTAGCTAGTGGACTGTCTATGAATCTTTTTCTACAGCTTCAGTTTCATTCTTCACGCTGCGTAGGTAGTGGGGTGTGGTCCAAAGCACTGAAGCAGTGCCTTTGTTGTTCAAAGAGGCTGAAGACCGCTAGGTCTCTTATTTTGCTGCGACGTTACAGCTTTACAGGTTGTATTTGACAGTTTAAGCAAGGCGTCGTCCACTCATTGCTGCGCATAGATGTAGTGTCCCACGGCAGTGAAGATATTGCATGAAATCCACGTTTCTTTAAGAGCACGTCTTGCCGAAGCTCATTCAAATTGACCATAAAATGATGGCGAAGCTAAGTAAATGCACCGTCACGCTCCCCTGGCTCGACTTCACAACAAAACAAGAGGTGCATTGGGGGCAGACCACTTAGACAAACGCACCTGACATTTCAGCAGACAATATGTTATATGTTTCTCACTTGATACTGTTTTGTCATATCTATAAATAGGTAATGCATACTTTCGAGACAAAACAAGCAAGTTTATTTTCAAGTGTTGTAAAAAATAATTCATTAAATTTTCATGCCAAGTCTGGAACACAATGGCAGAGCAAATTTTGCTCAGGTTTCACTTCTACCAACTGGTCACAAAAACATTTTGCAATAAAGTTTGGGTAGAAAAGAATGAACCAAGTTTCCATTAGGTATAACTTTATAGCATTTCATTTGACACTTGACAAACAAGCGTTGCGAATTTCAAGAATGTGATCTATTCGAAGCAGATCCGAAGCCTGTACTTCTCATAATTCCCATGGGAGTACAAGCACCGCTGAAGGAGCCTGCGTAGACACTAGCCCCAGATATAAAACTCTATGCTTCCCAGTTACAACTTGCACAATAAAACTAAAGCTCGCAGTAGCTATAAATGTGTAAAAGTCTTTTCATTAACGAGTAAGCTACAAAGGGATGACGCCAGACAAATTAATGCACTTCCCAGGACCTCTATTTTTTGGCCTAAATAAAAGGAAGATACAAACTCAAGAGATGGTTTCGGCTCAAGTGTGTCTGGCTTCAAATTTTCGTATTTGTTATTCACTGTTCGATAATCGTGTGGTGTTCACAAATTTTCACACACATCTGTCAGAACACTGCAGTGACCCATCAAACTCATGCAATGAACAATGTCCATGAGATGACGGCATCACACAAAATCTTAAGCACTTCATTTCACTCCACCATTGAATGTTGGAAACACATTTGGCTCATACAGAACAAAAATATCTCCCATTTTCAAGCTGCAACACGCTATAAAAGCAATATGGCAACTGTCAGTTGGCAAAAAAAACGCACCAATTACAATAAAGCACCTTCAGTGGCACCGTCTCTGAGGTGGGCCCCAACAAAGTCTTGTGACAGAGTAAATACACCTGGTGCAACGTATGACGCCACCGGCTTATCTCATCAACACCTTGTTGGGTAGGCTTAAATCAAGCATGGTTAAACATAGGGCATGACTAGGTTACAGCTGACGCCTCCATGCCGGCTCTGCATTTCAGGTTTTCATAACCACGACTTATGAAAATTGTTCAGCCTGAAAGTGCCCCAGAGTAGGATTTGTCCTTTGGCCTTCATTTTATGGAAACAAACTTGAAAGTGAAAGGTTGCATGAAAAAATGACTTAACTCTTGTTTCTAAACGACACACACACACACACACACACGTACACACATGTTTTCATGCAACTTTCACTTTTGTTTAATGTACTTGTGGGCTAGTTGGCAAGTCAATACAGCGTTGTGCACCCTCGGCAGCGCGCTCGAGGGTGCACAACGAACACACACGCACACAAAAGGACAACACAAGCGCCGGGCTTCAACAACAAGAACAAAAAAAGAGACTGATTCAGAGCCTGTGTCGTACCTTTGTGTGAGTGTTCATTGTGTAGCCTGGGGTCATATGCCTTTTACTTTCAACAATGCATCATACATTAGGCCACCATCGAGTTCCAATGATACAAAAAAAAAAAACTTGCAGAGGATGAGAAGATTCAAGGAAGTGCATGCCAAGCTTGGGCATAAATGAACGCCTAGCTGTGAATGTGACCAACGGGTGGTTGATGAAATAAGACGGACATCCTGTCATGCCTGTCATAGTGGAGGCACACACTCGTCGTACGAGTAGCAAAAAAGTGCAAACAGTGGTGGAAACATTTACGATGATTTCCCACAAGCAACTACAAATCTGACTGATCCATTCATCTTGGGGCAGATAATGATAAACACAACTGTCTTAATTCGTCACTGCTTTCGGGCGATAAAAAATGGGAGTCTTTTTCACCAGTAAGCAAGTGAAAGCACAATATTTGACAAGGTGTGCTTCTTTGAGAAGCCACGTGATTGAAGCGGTTGCAAGCTGACTAGACACTCTTGAGCTTCTTAGCGACTGGAGCGTCCACCATCGGTGCCTGACTCACAATGGTGGCCGGCCAGCCATTGGCCAGAACCATGCTGTAGCTGCCCGAGGTTGGACGTGAGGAGCCGGTCGAAGACGAGGATGGCGACGAGCCGTTCTCGACTATCACGTCCGAGCTCAGTGCACTGCAGGAGGCTCCCTTGGCTCCCAGGAACTGCAATCATTGTTTTGCTCAGCACACACACTGACTTTGCAAAAGCCAGCTGAATATTCTTTAATATCATCTTTTCTTTTCAATGATCACCCATGCTTATCCAGCTCAATGTTCTTTTACACATTTTTTATGATCACTCATAATTGGCAAGACTTGATTTTGTCATCTGTCTTCGACGCTTGCAAATCGGCTTGCATCACCTGTTAAAAGCCTCCCGTTTGCATCAAATTTTTAATGGCCACTGGGATAAAAAGATTCTTCTATATGGGCTGTCATTCTTCATCTCTTCCATTTTTCCCTGAACCTGTATGTCATTCTACTGGTTATTCTGAAAATATTATGAGAAATTACTCTCACACAGTCTATGTCTCATGAATATGCCTATTGCTGCGTTACAGCACTTAACCTACGTTACAGAAAAGCAATCCACTGGCCATTGTTAAAACAAAACAAATGACGCTATCATTTTTTTTTTTTTGACATTGGCCAGCTTGTAAAACGGGTCACTCCTTAACAGATTAACTACATTGAGCGCAAGCATGTAGAGAAATACAAATACTTTGAAATATTGTTTTAAGTAAAAGAACGGATCATTCCGAACCAATTTGAATGAGAATAAAAAGTTAAGATGGTGAAGTGCAACTTCAAAACATTTGCCGATCTCGCAGCACAGTGGCTCCATGCCACACAAAGCCAAATGGAGCCGAAAGAATTAAGCCCACCGTTCTCATGCTGGCTGAACTGCCATGTGTTGCAGCTCTCACAGAGACTAGCGCCAGAATTCCTATAGTGTGTGAATAATACAGAAAACACTACAGTGCTAACAGCCTCTCAAACTATGACAGCTACAGCAGAGGTCTTGGCAAGATGCCTTCCTTTTCCCTTAGCCCAGCATCATTTTCCCATAGGGCTTAAGCTTTCCAAGCTGCTGACAATTTGCTGTTTTGAAAGTTTGTCATAATGAATCCAGCCAAGGAAAGCACAGCAGCCATTAGTTGCCATCTTTGGTTAAGTAACTAGTATTCGCCTCGAGATTGACCTATAGGTGGCAGCACCATCACCGCAGTAGTGTGGACAGCTGGCCGGCCACGGACATGCAAATGTGCATAGTGGCGCTTTTTTATGAACGGTGTGAGCCGATTGTTGATGAACAAAATGCGTTTAGTGCACCCTACTCACAATATGTATGTTGTCCATTGCCGAATGGACGCATGAAGCTTGCCGAACGTTACTATTACTCGTGAGACGAAATATGCCTTTGAAAGGAATGTCCGCACTTCGCAATTGTGTGCGTTTTCACTGTATGTCACGTTTCCTGTATTTTTATTTGTAAGGGTTGATCTTGTGTCCCGCCCACTATGCACTGTTGTATAGTGCAAATGAATTTATTGTTTGCTTTATGCATGCTAGTCTTGGATACTAAAAAAACCAAACAAACAAAAAAAAGGAGAGCCCATATTCCTGGGCAATCAGATAAAATAACTGCAAACGCATCTTCATTTTTTTTCATTCAGTTCTCCATGAAATGAATGCGGGATAGTTGATGAGTTTCTTCAGGAAAGATGCGTGGTTGACAGCACTGTAGTGCAGTTTTACTTACTCTAATAACATTATAAAGAGTATCGGCGCACAGCTTCTCTCGATTGATTATCTGCATGGCAGTGATGTAACAAAGGTTTGGTTGTTCAATGGGATAAAAGCAATTTTCTTTCAAGCGAAGAATGTCCGCTCCATCTGTCAGTATATAACAATGCCACAAAAACACTTAAGATAATATTAAAAAAAAGGCTGACATTTTGCATGAAATCACACGGCACGACATCTGGATTAATTTTGGCCATTTGAATTCTTTAGAGCCCACCCAAGTCTAAACACATGAGTTTGTCTGTATAAATTTTCCCCAATGTTAAAATTGTGCATGGTGACTCAAGTTTAATCCCATCCATGTCATTTCATTTTCTATTCTTTTTAAGGGGCAGTTTAAATACCAAAGGGTGAGAATTTACTTGAGAGAAATATTTCTCTGAGTGAGATGGAGTACCGCACAATTAAAGTACATTTCAAGCACAATTAAAGCTTGTTGCATAACAGATAAGCAACAGCCCGGCAGTTAGTCACCTAACAACAAGTAAAATTTTGCTTGTCACTGAGCCTCTAAAACTCTGCATTCGCACAATATCTAATATTCTCCATGCTTGCGACGACGCCAAGGGCAGTTAATGTTGTGCTTCTGAATAAGTACATCTGCATGATCTGGAATGAGTACAAAGTGCAAGGAAACAAGAATGAATGTTTTGAGCCTATTAGAACAAAAGTTGTGTTATACTGAATATTTGTGACTGAAGCCCCAGCTTCACGTAGACTCGCGGCAAATATTCAACATACTACTGTATTTACTTGCGTAATCCTCGCAACTCGCACAATTCTTGCACCACTAACCCCCCCATTGCCCAACAAAAATACAATTTTTTTTTCGCGAGTAATCATTCCAGCCATAATTTCATCTGCTCCTTCAAACTACTGATGATGACAGAGCACTTATGTCCCTAAAAAACTGAAGTTGTGCCAACCATGCCCCTTCACCTCTGCCTCTTCTTGCAGCAGCTGCAACAGCACCCCTGCAGCGTCCAGCAAGAAAATATGGATGCAGGCATACTATTTCCCAGTTTACAGGAAAGGGTAAGCCAGTGTCGTCGTGGAAAAAAAACAAACACGTGCAACCGAAGACAGACAAGATGGCTCTTGCGCTACCAAGGCTACGAAGCACAGGCAGAAAAGGAGCCTGCACACCCAAACGAATGGCACTACTTTATTTAGTTTAGAGTCTTTAGAGACTTTAGAGTGCACGACAGTCTGGCCTCATCTCCTATGCACTATGCGTACCATCAACGCACGGAGCCTCGATCCAAGCCAAGCCAAAGTGGCAAGCGTTCACTGTGTCCTTTCTGTAGTTACGCTATGGGGTGATACAGAAGCTGCATGGCTGCTTTTGAGTTGAAAATGATTGATCGTGCACTGAACAGTGGCAACAGGGTCACCAGCAGCCACTTCAGAGTCGATGGGATTTGTGTTCGCTACTGGCGACGGCAGCATGTGCAGCTGAAAGCCATCAAGATGCACTGGGCCTTCCGCAAATTTTATTTCGTCAGAAGGTAACTGCGGACGATTTCATGTTAGATGGCCATCAGCCCAAGGTTGACGTCTTACGCTAATTTCTCCCAAGCTCCCAGTGTGTGACAATCGCTCGCGCTACGACCGCAAGCTTTGCGTACGGTATTCTGAAGCTCTACTATTTGCTTGAAGCTTTTTGTCTCAAATAAATCTTGCCTTGTGTTTAACCTGCGATTTTATTGTTAAGCTAAGTCTTGATTAGAACTTCCCAAAGCTTGTAATTAGTCGCTCGCTCTGGTCAGTATTCCATTTTGCGGCCATGTTTTTTAAAATTGTTTTTGCTCCATATATTCTTGCGGAAAATATTCCTATCATTATTCTCACACCCCCCAAAGTTTTCATCGGTCTTCCACACACAAAAAAAAGTGCGAGGACTATGAGAGTAAATACGGTACAACTTTTGCGCAAATGAACATCCATTCTTATTTTCTTGCACTCTGCTCTCATTCCAGGTCATTCTGATATGCTTTAATAAATTGTAACTCTCCAAGTTTAGGCAAGCACACGGAAATGTTTGATATATAATAAAGAAAGGAAGACATTGATATCATCACCACAAGAAGAAGGCGTTCGAGCACCATCACGTTGCTCGGCTTGCATACTTTTCAAGCTACCATCCATGTTCGGCTCTTTTCATTTGGTGGATTGTGTTGGGTACCCCCATCGTCTGCACTATGGAACTACGATCCTGTACACCGACCATGCAAGCGGCCACCCTTGCCCTGGCCCTGCTAACCAGCAAGACCTCCCGATATTTGTGGGCACGGAAGATCAGAATGTTGAAGAGTGGCTGTTGTCGTACGAGAAAGTTAGTGGATCCAACAGGTGGGGTGAGTCTGCCAAGTTGTACACTGTCAACTTTAACTTGACTAATGTGGTGATGCTGTGGTATACGAATCTGAGTTCAAAAACTGGTCCACGTTCAAGCAGGCAATATCTATTGTTTTCGATCGGCCCGCCATGCAGAAGCAGCGGGCGCAAGGACCAGGCGAAATGTTTACCTTTTGTATTGAGAACATACTCGATCTCTGCAAGACCGTTGATGACTCAATGAGCGAAAGTGTAAAAATTCACCGCATTATGAAGGGTGTTGAGGATGATGTTTTTCAAATGCTCCTTGTGAAGTCTCCTGGCATGGTGTTCGAAGATGTAACTCTGTGCCAGGGCTATGATAAGTTGTGAAGGCAACGAGCTCTCATTCAATGTTCAGTCTAACTAACGACTCGCTGCATTAGATGTCATGCCTGACCACTCATGCCCTGTTGCACAAATAAAAGACTGTGTGTGAGGAGGTCGCATGTCAGCTTTCTTTCCTACCATTCGCTCTGCGCCAAGAGCTCCCACAGCAGCACCTACAGCAGCCACTGACCCCGTGGGTGCCCATGCTCTGCCATGTGATTGGGAACCAGATTGCCGAGACTATGCCGGTACCCTTCCAGGAACATTGTCGCCGCCTCTCTTACTTATGCGGAAGCAGTATATAGGCGGCAGCTACACCAACCCTTGCCGTTTGATGGATTGCCACATGCACCTACTCCGACTCAGTCATCTGCCGCATGGGCTCCTCCCATTGCAACCACAACTTCGTCTCAGTGGTACGCGGTACGGGTGGTGTCTCTCACTGAAAATGCCTGGCCGATCCGTTTTGCAAGCGGCAGCCCCGGCCATATCGCCTGATACTGCCGTCGTCGTGAGCCAGGCTACACAGGCGCCCGTTCACAGCAACATGAACTGACCCCTATCTCATTATGAAAGTTTGGATCCTCAGTCAAGTACTTGTTCACCCAAAAACAGTGTCTTGTTGCTCACATTCACCCCATCGTCGCCCC